TAAATTTGTAAAATTCCAAACATAAACAATTACAGAATGTAGAGGGATTATACTCTACAGTAAAGGAGTTAGTTTTCTTATTTCAATAGCACCTTTAAAATTTCCAATTTTCATAATTTATAAACTCTTTTTTCGGAGTTATTCTTCCTCTCCCCAATGTAAATCACAAAACTTCTACTTCTACTATAATGAGAATCATGTCTAATATCGGTTTTTTTTTTTAAACTTATATTTGTCATGCATTAGCACACGTATAGTCTATTAATATTACGTTTTAAAGCTGAGCATCTTAAAAAATAGAAGGTAGGAAAAAAGTCCAAAACCAACGTAAAATCAATAAAGCTTATGAATAGTGTATAAAGTCAAAATGTGTCAACTAAAAAGAAATAGAAGAGGTATATTGGGAATAATTTAAATAATCCTTCAATTTTTCAAAAGTCGGAAAGATTCTAAATATACATGAACATAGAAAAATTAGAGGAAATAGTAATTGGGGCCAAAATTACATTCGTGATATCTACATTATCCCAATTCCAATTATTTTTTTGTTTTTCTGACGTTATATTCACTTTTACTTTATTTGCTCATGATATCCTTTTATTATTATGATTTATAATCTACTACCTACAAAATGAGACCTAAGTATAAAAATCCTTTACATTTGGTCTCTCTTATATTTAAAAAATCTACTAACATATATAAGTGATCTCATTTTTCATTTTTCCTTATTTTTGTTACTGCCATAACATGTTAATATAAAGTGAAAGTTGCGGGAAAAAAAAAAATATTACATACCCACTTACAAAGTTACAATTGCAAGCATAAAATATATTGGTATAAATAGTACAGTTTATAATAGTAATAGTATAAACATATTATTCATCCTTGATACACAAATGTTAATATTTTATATATTAAAATGCTAAGCATTCACATAGTTGCCTCACACTCGTAAATCTTCTTAATTAATTTGATTCAATAAATTTGCTTGGTGAATAATTCAAGAATGCTTCATTGAGAAAGGCTTCCTTTGTGCCCCTTATTTCCATGTGATTTTATACAATCATCATCTTATAGTATCCTAATATTGCTATCATGTTACTAAATTAAACAATCTTAGATTTTATAGTATGTATCACTATATGTAATATTAGATTTATATATTAATAAGATGCACAAATTCTTCAAAAAGACGGGTGTACGTTAATTTATTGTAAAACGGGTTAAAGTTGTGTTAAAAGTACGTAAAGTTACCCTTTGTATTGCTAAAGTTATTATTATTTCTATTAATAAATTTTATCTTACAAAAAACTTTTAATGTATTAAATTAATCATATTAATCTTTATATTATGTAATTACGTATCTATAAGAAATTACACATTAAAATAAAATTCAAAACAACGACAAATTAAAAGTTACCTTTTAAGTGGTTAAAGTTACCATATAAATAGTTAAAGTCACGCTCAAACCGACCATTTTACAATAAAATTAATGTACACCCGTTGTACACAAGACTTATTATATATGATGAAGATATATATATAGGAGACAAATGTAACTCTTTATCTTATCCTTAAAGTCAATCTACTTATATGAGTGTCTGATCTTATTTTCATCTTTCCTTGTTTTGTTGTCACAGTAACATATGTATATAGTGGAATGAAAATTGCAGGCATAATATATTGTGCCATAAATAATTTATAATTGAATTGTAATAGTATAAGCATAGCCATCCTTGATACACAGATTGTGAATAATTTATCAAAATTAAATGCTAAGTATATCATATAGTTGTCTCATACTCATAAATCTTCTTGGTTTGAGTCAATAAATTAACTTGGTAAATAATTCAAGAGTGTTTCGAAATATTCATATATAATAGAAAGTAACAATTAATGAATGAATATTCATATATAATTAATGATTAACTACTCCTTCTGTTTTTTATTCATATTTTCATTTTTATGGTCAAATTTTAAAAATTGGACTATGTGAGCTATTATTAGATTTGTCCCAATATATGATTTTATAATATCAAAATTTTATAATTTTTGTTAATACTTAATTATAGATATTAATAGACAAAGGTAAGTTTTAAAGATCGTATAAAGTCAAAATGTGTCAAAAATTGTGGAACGGAGGCAGTATTAAAAATTGATTATCAAGCGTGAAATACATAAAATCTAATATCGCACGCATAAAAGAGACCGGAGAAAGTACAAAACTTTCTTAGAGCACTAGCAATGGTGATCATTTTTTTTGCTCATGGGCATTTTTGATGAGCAAAAAATTTGATCACCAACCACAATGGTGAAAAATGGTAAAATCCAAAAAAAAGCCCATGAGCAAAACCAAAAAAGCTCAAAACATGAGCATTTTTATTGATGAACAGTAATCCAAGTGGGCCGTAGTTTTGTCAGACCCAATGGAAAAAATAAATATATTTATAGTTGGGTTACTGTTCATCAAAGCAGATTTTTTTTTAAAAAAAAAGAGAATATGACGCGTGACAGTGGGTTGGCGAATGGGGCGATGACACGTGGCTTGCGCAGGTTCCCAGCCAATCAGAAAATTATAACCGTTTACAACGGTTATATATTTGTAATTGATTTTCTGAAAAATATATTTTGTAAAAAAAAAAAAAAATTACCAACGGTCATAAAATTAAATTCTCTATAAATAGACATGCATTTTGATATAATTTCGTAAACACTTTAAATCCTCCACATTGTAATTGTGAGCATTTTTTTTGCTCACCATTGGGAGAGAAATTGTGAAAACAATTTGCCCATGAGCAAAACTGATTTGTTGAGAGAGAAAGTGGGCAGAGAGAGAGTGGGTGAGCATTTTTTTTGCTGACCATTGAGAGTGATCTTACCTCAAACATACATATATATAAGAAAGTGGATCACTAACTTGTAATCTATTTTACGAAGTACTACGTAATACACACCACAATATAAAGATGGGGACAGACAGTCGGACATGGAGGGTAAGCATTAACGAAATCAGAAGATTTGGAATAAAAAGTTTAAAAGATAGAGATGTAGAGTAAAAAACATGGGGAAATATATGAAGATATTATCCCAAAAGGTTGCAATGTGCACGTAGCCTTTTAAACACGGAGCTTAATTTCGATAACATGTATAATTGATACGGAATAACTAAAAGTGATAATATAGTGTTTCTTTTTAAAAAAATAACAATACAAAAATGCTACTCTATTAGCCCCTTCATTTCATAATGGTATTTCCGTTTGAAATTTCGTGACTATAAAAAATGAGAGGGAAACTTTATATCTCTTATGTGTATAAGAAAAAACGTAGTCATTTGAGGTGTACTTTGATTCGTATCAATGAGTACATTATTAATTTCAAAGAGAGGGAGTAAAATCAATTGGTGAACGTAGGGATAAGCGGATAACTCCATTGAGACAAATCACACATGGAGTTCATGGACAACGAATGGGTTTCATCATAATAGATTTCAATTCGGATTTTTTACGAAACTGAGCTCTATTAGCAAACTATTTACGAAGATAGACGCGTGGCCAAACTATTTACGAAATTGAGCTTCTGAGGTAAAACGCTGCCTCGGTCAGCGTTTTATCTCTGTTATTATTTTTTTTTTAAATTTCTTATTTAGTGAAATACAAATTTTTTTTTAAAAAAATATGGAAATAAATAAAAACGCTGCCTCAGTCAGCGTTTTTGTCTCAGGCTGTAACAGGCCTTAAAACGCTGACTGAGGCAGCGTTTCATTAATACTAGAAACACGCTGCCTCAGTTAGCGGTTTTGCCTGGTATATTTTTCGCGCACTCACTCTTCCTCAAAACTAAAAACTCAAACTCACTCTTCCTCACGCCAGCCTATCTTCCTCAAAGCTCTGCCGTCGCCGCCGCCGCCTGCTGCCTGCCGCCGTCGCCGCCGCCTGCTGCCTGCCGCCGTCGCCGCCGCCGCCGCCGCCTATTGCCTGCTGCTGCCGCGCCTCTCCTCTTCTTTATAATCACATTGTTAGTACTTCTCACTCATTTGTTTTTAAAATTTAAAAACCTAGGTTAGTTTGATAATTATATACTACATTGTTTTAATTTGATAATGTTGTTGATTATTCTAAGTTAGTTTGATGTAAATTGACAATTATGTTGATAATTCTAAGTTGGTTTGTTGTAATTTGATAATTGTCTAGTATAAAAGCCCTAAATTGATGTTAGTTTAGTAAGAAAGTTTATAATGAAATTGTGGAAATGTTTGATAAAATTGTTGAAAATGATGATGAAATTGTTGATGAAATTGTTGTTTTAGTTTGATAAAGTAGCCTAAATTGTTGTTTAATTACGAAAATTTTGTTATGTAGAATATGTTGGTTGTTATAGTGTGAATATGTTCGTTGTGTACTTTGTTGTGGTTGTAATGTGAATTGGAACAATGATGGTTAATTATGTTTATAGTGTGAATATCTTGGTTGTTATTGTGCGAATTGGTGGAGATTGCATGCAATTAAGATGTGTTTTTGGTTGTTATATAGAATATGGCTGCACAAAACGCAGCTTTGTTATGCCGATGGGGGGGTGAATTTGTGTCTGATGGACCGAATGTCCAGTATAGTGGTGGAAATATGGAACCATTGCCACTTGGTCCGGACATGATTTTCAACGATCTGATGAACGAGGTTCATAGCATTATTGGCTTAAACCCAATGAATGTACAACTTAACATTCAAATGAGGTTTGATACTAATAATGCGGTTCAAGTGTTACCTTGTTCTAACGATAGACATTTGAAAGCTTTGAGGAGCGCTGTTTTAATGAGGGGTTATCCACATGAGATATATGTAGAAATAGTGTCTACATGTACGCAACAAAGTACTCGACCAGATCAACAAGCTACCTATTTTTCCGGTTACACAGAGTCCTTCCGAATGCCCTCACAAGACATTCCATCAACTGAATATGGGATGGGGTCCTTCAGCAGACTGCTTCATGACGATCGGTTCTAGATGCCGTTGAGTTCACATATAGCTTCACCTGTATATGGTGGAACATCTACGACAATGTTTGGCCAATCTGGGCCTTCGACATCGAACACAGTTATATCTTCTCCCATGCAACTCCAAAGTTATTCACCTACGCAGCATGATGATCATACATCACCGTCTCAACCATTGGTGAATCATCTTGAAAATCTACAACATATGGTGAATAACGAGTTGTCTCTGTATGATGCGCTCCGGGAAACAAATGATGAGGCTGAGAGCGAAGAGGAGGAACATGGACTGGATAACATGGATGTTGATTCTACAGACATGGAAGGTGGGGAGGCCATGGTTAGAACTCCTATTCCTTGGTTAAGTCAAGTAAATGAGAATTATAAGGTTGATCAATATTGGGCCGAATCAGGTAGTCGTACAACATTTGTGATCGGGGGGGGGGGGGAGTTTGAGAAGGGTATGTTCTTTGAATCTAAGAAACTGCTCCAGGAAATGGTGAAGAAGTATTCTATACAAAGGAACCAATTCTACACCACAGTGACCTCGAATGAGAAGGTCCTTCATCTGTGGTGCAAGAAGAATTGTGGTTGGTCGCTACGGGGCACAAAAAAAAGTGAGCACTCAGACGACTTTACCATAGTCACATACAAAGGCCCGCACCGGGACACCTGTGTCACTGAAGTGTTATCTACAGATCATGCACACTTGGATTCATCCATAATTTCCGATTTTGTGAAGTCTTTTGTGCAGAAAGATCCATGCTTGAAAGTTGAATTTATACAGGAACTCATATCCAAGCATTTTCAGTTCGACGTTACTTATCGAAGAGCATGGTATGCTAGGGAGAAAGCCATAGCTGAAGTATTTGGAGATTGGGAGAGTTCTTATGGCCGACTTCCGCACTTCATGGAAGCACTCAAACAGTCAAACCCGGGAACCGTTGTTGTATGGAAACACAAAGCTCTGGTAGACGGTGTTTATTACAGCAACATGGAAGTGTTTGAACGAGTATTTTGGGCCTTTGGCCCTTGTGTTGAAGGTTTTAAACATTGTATGTCTGTCATCTATATCGATGGGATGCATTTGTACGGGAAATTTAAAGGAACATTGTTGGTTGCTACAAGTGTGGATGCAAACTTCCAAGTATTTCCGCTTGCATTTGCGTTAGTCAAAGGGGAAAACATTTCCAACTGGTCTTGGATTCTGGGCTGCATTCGGGTTCATGTCACTCAACGGGATGGCCCCTGTGTTATATCTGATCGACATGCTGGGATCATTGCAGCAATGAATGACCCTAACGTTGGATTCACCGAGCCACGAGCCTATCACAGGTTTTGTGTTCGGCTCTTGGCTTCTAACTTGAAGACTCACGTGCGAAGAAACGACATGAGAGATATGTTCAAGGCTGTTGCGTACCAAAGGCAGGAAAGAAAACTGGTAGCTGATATGAGTTTGATCGGTCAGGCATGTACCAAGGCCATACAGTATATTGTCCAAGTGCCCTTGCCTATGTGGTCTGTGTTTCACGATGCTGGTCGCAGATATGGGATATGTACTACGAACTTCTCAGAAACATTTAACAATGTGTTGAAGGTTGCTCGATTTCTACCTATCATGTCCCTTGTTGAATTAACATTCCACAGAGTCAATAAGTATTTCACTGATAGAAGGGAATTATCTCATACTAGATCTGAACAGGGACTTGCATACCCCCCCAAAGTCACTTCCATTATGGAGAAAAAACATTGCAAAGGCTAGATATCACAAAGTGGAAGCGTATAACCGTCGACTGCATATATATCAAGTTGAAACAAAGAGGGGAGATAGAATTGGTAGAAAAGGAGGTCATAGACATACTGTTAACTTTCAGTTAAGAACGTGCACATGCAATAAACCACGGATCTTCCACCTCCCGTGTTCTCATGTTCTAGCAGTTTGTGCGAAGTATTCGATATCAGAGCGGCCATTGGTGGACCGGGTACTGCAATCAGAGGCCTACGCAAACACATACGCTCCCCAATTCTGGCCTATCCCGTGTGACACGGCATGGAGAGAGTATGGAGGGCCTAAACTCATTCCCGACAACAGCATGGTACGAGGACAAGGTCGCCCTAAGTCAAGGCGCATACGCAATGAAATGGATGAGACCAACCGTCCCGCGAGCAAATGCAGCCTCTGTCACCAGCAGGGTCACAACAAGAGATCGTGTCCCTCTACATCGATCGGGCACTAAGTTTTTTTTTCCAGTTATCTAGAGTGATGTAGTAGAATAGTACGGTGATTGTATTTCTACATTTCAAATGATTGTAACAGTTGGATTTTTAGATTGAAGTATGAGATTTGAAATTTTGTATTTTGTTATCGCTTATATGTAATTTTTACTTTTTAATTGTTGGATTATAACTGTTTATGAACAGATACCATGGACACCCGAGATAGGACACCCGGACCCACCGACCCTTCTGTCCTTACACTACAGGACACACATCGTAGCGTTGACATTTGGAGTCAGGCGGTTGATCCGGCGGGCATACTGACATGCAGGCACTACACTGTCGCGTTCCTTGGCGATTGGGTTATCGATCCCCGCATTCTGCCTTTCGTGGAGTACGCTTGCTTCATGGGTATACATCGGATGGCGTTCAAAGAGGTTGACCCAGCACTTGTTAATGCGCTTGTAGAGAGATGGAGACAGGAGACGCACTCCTTCCATCTACCTATTGGGGAGGCGACCGTGACGTTGCGATACGTGGCGATACTCACACGGCTTCCCATTCATGGGAGTCCGGTGTCTGGATCTGCGTTGGCCGATCCCCCCGGTTATGTAGCTCAGGTTCTCGGGGTTCAGCCAAGCCCGAACGATATCAGGGGCGGCGGATTGAGGACCGGCTGGATACGCGACACTTTTCGTGTGTTGCCTGATGGTGCCGATGAGGCCACTATTGCGAGACATGCTCGAGCGTACCTTTTTCTGCTCATCTCGGGTGTGTTGTTCGGTGGCAAGAGTGGCAGTCATTACAGATCATTTACCTGGAGCTGTTAGACCACGACTAGGAGCATATTCGTGGCTACAGCTGGGGCAGTGCTTGTCTGGCGATGTTGTATCGCCATCTGTGTAGAGCATTCCGTCGGGGTTCTCGTGAGATCAGCGGTCCGTTATTTTTGCTTCAGGTAACCTACCTATCTGTTAACAATTTAATTCGGAAAGTTCTTACTTAGTTTACAATTAACCTAGTTTTGTGTGTTTGATGTCCAGTATTGGTCTTGGGAGCACATCCATGTAGGCAGGCCAGGTAGGCCTGCTATACATCGTCAGGGGCAGCGGGATCTGGACCAGCAGTATGAGAGGTACATTCCTCCACCACGGCCTTCCCCTGACGAGGCGTACGGTTGCAGATGGGCGGTCCCCAAGCTGACATATGCGCATGCGGCGAGGGGCCTTCCGTACTACCGAGACGCCCTTGATCGACTCACCGAGGATCAGGTGAAAACGTTAATTTATTTAGTAAACAGTTATTTATTATGTATACTCTTAACATATTTAATATGGACTAACCTGTTTATTATAATACTTTGTATGTGTTATCGTAGATGACATGGGACCCGTATGAAGCTGATTTAGTTGCTGTCATGCCTCCACATCTGCTAGATCATCAGGCGCAGTGGCGTTCTAGGGTCCCCCTGATCTGTTTTGAGGTCGTCGAGGGTCACCTACCGGATCGAGTCATGCGATAGTTTGGACTACACCAGACTGTCCCCCAGCAGTGTGACACTAGTGCCCGGCTGCACCGCATTGACCGTCGGGGAAAGAGCGACAGGAACTGGCGGACGGAGCATGCCCAGTACATTGACTTGTGGCATCGACGGTTAGAGTTCGTCGTCACTGGTGACCCCATCCACGGCGTTATGGATCCATACGATCCATACATGGAGTGGTACATGCGGATTACACGATGTTTCATCAACCCCAGCTACACACCGCCATCCGCACATTACCATCCATCCTTTGACGTGATCAGGGGATATGTAAGTGTATTTGATTAACTTATTTTTATCAATTTTAAATTTGTATATCATTCAACTAACTCATCCATAATTAATGCAGGCGTTGGATATGACGGCGATGGTTGACGCACTGTCGGACGTCTTTCCAGGCATACCTGAGTCGCCCAGAGCACAGGTCGAGCGGGTCCGAGATATGGGCATGGCTACCTTGCAGAGATATGGTCACGCCTATCTCGTCCACCCCCGGGACGATCATGGCGACCACTCTAGTCACTCACAGTTCGAGGCTGGCCAGAGTAGCTGTGGGGGTGATCCTGCGTCAAACACGGGCGCAGAGGAGTACGACATTCGCAGTTCCGCGCCCCTACGTCATCCTGATGACCCATCGTCCAGCCAGCTGACTCCGCCAGTACGCCCGAACCCATTTACCACGGTCCGTCACTACAGCCGTCGTCAAAGGCCGAGAGTGGACATACAGGATAGAGAGCCGTTACACCAAATTGATGAGTCAGAATAGGATAGAATTATCTGATTTATTTGCTGTAATGACCTTCTCTAGTTTGTTGTACATAACACTTACATTACATTATTATTTTAATAATTATTTGAATGAATTTATGTCTTGTTTGAATTTCAAATTCCTTATTTGTCCATATTTGACTCATTTCGTTCAAAATAAATTGTGGATGTGGTGGTGGTGGATGTGGAGGAGGAGGGTGGTGGTGGTGGTGCATGTGGAGGAGGAGGGTGGTGGTGGTGGTGCATGTGGAGGAGGGTGGTGGTGTTGGTGGATGTGGAGAGGGTGGTGGATGTGGAAGGGGGTTGCACTGGCTGCTGTTGGGGGCCTGCTGTTGCTGGCTTCAGCCAGCAGATAAAACGCTGACTGAGGCAGCGTTTTATGCTTAGGTATAAAACGCTGCCTCAGTCAGCGTTTTTCTCCTGTTATGCATATACAAAAAACGCTGACTGAGTCAGCGTTTTATTGTATTTCCAATTTTTTTTTTTAAAATTTGTATTTCACAAAATACGAAATTTTTTTGAAAAAAAATAATAACCAAGGTAAAACGCTGACAGAAGCTCAGTTTCGTAAATAGTTTGGCCACGCGTCTAGATTGGTAAATTATTTACCAATTAAGCTTACTTTCGTAAAAAATCCTTTCAATTCGCATCAACTGGTGGTAGTCTTTGCTAATGTGCAAAATTCTACAGACCTGAAGTTTAAGTTAGGATATGGTTAACTTCATGGGCCTTAACTACTACTTGGTATAAACTTCAATCAGTTAAATATATACTTTCAAGTTCAACGTAGGCAGACCTTTGATTCAGATTTTAGAATAGTACTGGTAAAGTGCAAACTACTTTTTAGGAACGAAGAGAGTACACATTTACATTGACAGATTAACTCGCTCTTTCATGTCAACAAAACTTCATTCAGACTTTTAGAGACAACATATTGTTTCCTAAATACCATATTCAGGTTTAAACAGTTGGGCTGGGCCAAAGCCCATGGAAAAACTATAATTTAGCCCATTGAATTTTAAAGCATAAGCCAGTAATATACCTGCTCATGTATCCTATGAATAAAATCAATGTGCAGAAATGAAGCATCAAAGGATGAAATCTTAACATCAAAATATGTTAAGATATCTCTTTTTTTTTTTTACACTTAACTCTGCAAACCTTTGATAACAAAGGCTAAAACTTAAAAAGGTAACTACCATCATCAAAACTACTGCACAAGACCCACCATACACTAAAGATAATAAGAAGCCAAACCCAAAATGTATCACCTATACTGATTAACTGGTAACGTTTTTCATTTTTTCGGTTGAAATACCTATGTGTATACTCTATAAACTAAGAAGAACAAATACGACTCAGAATTTACAACACATGAACGAATGAGCCCATCCTTTTTGCTTACGCAAGTTTCTCTGATCTGCCTTCGCCATCCTTACTGGACTAGTATTCCATTCTGCTTGCAACCTATAACAACAATCACTCGTTACTACATTGTAAGATTAAAATTTTCATTGGACAGGATGTTAGAGATGGTTCTTCATTAGCATATCTCACACGATCACTCATGTATTATAGGTGTTTTCCAGTTCTTGAATCAAAACATTTCATAATAAAAAAAAAGCATTTCAGAAGAGGCGGAAAGCAGCATAAGTGGTATGATGCAAATTTTAGCACTTATGGGTCTATTGTTAATTCGTTTATCGTAAAAATGATTTAAGTCAATATCATGAATTGGTTTGTTTAAATCAGGTCCATTCCAAAACAGTCTAGCTAATTTTAGGTATAAGTACAATGTTGGCCTCTTTCAGACTCCACCGGGCCAGTTCACTTTTTCCAAGTCTCACAACCATTATTTTGGATTTAGGTGATAATTGAAAGAGAGAAAACTGTAGAAAGACAAACTTTTAGCGAGAAGATAACTTACACAGGAAAGGCAAAGGAACGAGTGCTGCCAGCACTACTTTCAGATCGGAGAGAAATGTTGCCAGAGTGTGCAACAGGCCCCATGTAAGTTATAGATGATGGGGGTGGCATTGCAGCCGAAAAGCTTGTCTCCCCATGAACCCTCCTATCTGTCCCACAATCTAGGATAGTACCAGGAAGAGATCCAACATCATCCCTAGACATACTTTGAGCCGCAGGAGGTTTTTCAACTGCCTCGTTTTTCTGTGAAATCTCTTTCTCTGCCGTCTCTGATGAAGTAGCAGCAGCATTAAAATCCAAGATAATACTTCCAGACTCCACCTTGCTGTCGTAAGATAAAGCATTGTTGTTAACTTTGTCAGCTGGTTGAATTGAAGATGCTTCTTCACTTTGACTCTGACATAGTACCAAAAAATCATAGTGATTCAGAATTAGCAACCAGATGAAAACTGATAAAGATCTTAAAACATCACAGTAATTCTAGTGATTTTCAATGTCCAATGAAGTTTATCTAGATGGCTCCTCAAAGTCATAAAACATAGTAAGCCAATTTAGCAAACACAAACTTCCCAGTTCCCACTCCCTCCATTTCCTTTAATAAGACACTCACAATTCTAGGTTGAACTTTGACTGTTGATTACTCACATGTTGATAATAATTAAAAAAAAAAAAAATCACATAAGGATATAAAATTGACAAAGTGCTTGTTAAGATGAAAGAAACAGTACAGGATTACAAGTTTTATACCAACAGTCTTGAAGAGACATTAGCGGTCAAAAAAGTGCATGTCTTGTTTAAATAGAAGGGAGCATAATAAAAATCTCAAATAATCTGGAGATGAATATTAACTTCATGAACACAATAAAAATCATCAGTACTGTTGCAAGTTGCAATGTATCCTCAAGAGTGAATGGCATTATGATCAGCTGATTTCTTATTTAGAGGTGTCTAGGTTGATCAAGATGCTTAATCGTTAGTGTAAATTTTGATAAGCAATTTAGTTATGTTTGTTGCATTCAAAGAGAGCACTAATTAACACAAATTCATATCAAGTTGAAGTAAAGAGTAGCATATAACCAACCTCATTGGACTCCATAGTAGATTCTACTTCATGCATGATTGAAGGCTGTGCAGGAGATATTTCTGCATGTTGTGCCTTATTGGACTCTGTAGTGGCTTCTGCTTCATGCACGATTGCAGGCTGTGCGGAAGATTTTTCTGAATGCTGTGCCTCATTGGACTCCATAGTGGCTTCTACTTCATTCATGACTGAAGTTACTACATGCTCTAGAGGTACACTGTCTTTGCAATGCTCCTCCTCAGGGACTTCATTATCTGTCATCACCTTTTGACAATCTACTTTATCTTTCTCACCTACTTGAGGGTCTTTTTTACCATTAACTACATCATCACTCTGAACCAGTTCTTCTGTGTGCAAAATAATTTTAGACGCGTCCTGTTTCTTGCTAGAGTTATGTTCAAACTCGTCTGCCATTAGCATATCATCACTCCCACACTTATCAGCAGGGTATGGCTTCTCTAAGGCTTCATGAACAACTCCACTCTCCTTCACTAACTCTTCAGTCATGTCCTGAGCAAAAGGGCGCTTTTCGACATCATTAGTAAACAGCACATCACCATCAACATTGTCATTAGAAGCTAGGACAGTAGACATGTTTTTACTGTTATGATCATCTAGGCTTTTAACCCAAACCTTGTCATGTGTAGGCACTCCCTCATCTATTCCAATGTCTTTGACCGGATGAAAACCATTATCTTTGTATGAAAACAACTCTGGTAGCTCACATTCAGTAACTGTTTTATCAGTAAATAATTCAGAATCCTTCCTATAAAGAACTTCCTCATTGCTTGCATCAGCAGAATTTGGATTACTTAAAAGCCGAGAATGCCCAATTATAGCTTCTTCCCATGATAGATCACTACTGTCCAAGTGAAATGTTAACGAGTCTGGAGTTGACTCAAAGCTTTTTATATCATACCCATTAATGTTATCTTTAACATTGGTGTCTTCATCATCTGAATCGAAAGGGTTATATGACTTCCTCGGGGAAGTTTGAACACCAATAACAAGGTCGTTTTCTGCCATCAATTCAGTATTTGTCAACACATTATCAGAGCTGTATAGTAGAACAAAAGTCGGAAGGAATAACTGTCACAATACCCCCTAATTGTAGTTATGACAATTTATTAAAAGATCCGTTACATTGTTGGAATATTCTAAAGCTCTACTCACCAATTAAATTTGGTATCAGTATATTAGGAACCAGATCCACCACAGCATAAACCCGATGTGTATAAATCACAAACGATCGCTATCTTAGAAAAGTTACATTATTTTCCGGACACCCTAAAATGATAACATGAAGTATATATGACTATTATTTACCAGACTAAAATGGTACTTAAATCAGAACACAAAGATCAAGCATTCAAGTTCTTCAGATAATGTTACAAAAGCATAAGATTTAGCCATCAAACTTTAGTATCAATAACATCTATATATGACCACGCGATCCACATAACATTCAGTAAGATGTCAATAAGAAAAACACACGACACCAAGAATTTAACTATCTAGATAAACTAGCATACAGAAAGTGAAAGATTGAACCAGAATTACAAGAAGCATAAAAAAAATAAAAAATAAATAAAAAAATAAATACGTAGAATTTGTAAGTTACCAAGCTTCATTCTGACATAAGTCTGGATCTTCAACAAGACTTAGAATCGTGAAGAATTAGATCCTCTTGATAGTACAATCAACTCCAACAAATACAAATTAAAACATTCCTCAGCAACCTGATAACAGAATAGAAAAATTAGCTCATATAAAATTCATAGCACGACGTCTTCCAATCACTAACACGAATACATGACTGAACACTTATTCAACGGCTTAAGTTGTAGCATACAGAAAGTGAAAGATTGAACCAGAATTACAAGAAGCATAAAAAAAATAAAAAAAAAAATAAAAAAATAAAAACGTAGAATTTGTAAGTTACCAAGCTTCATTCTGACATAAGTCTGGATCTTCAACAAGACTTAGAATCGTGAAGAATTAGATCCTCTTGATAGTACAATCAACTCCAACAAATACAAATTAAAACATTCCTCAGCAACCTGATAACAGAATAGAAAAATTAGCTCATATAAAATTCATAGCACGACGTCTTCCAATCACTAACACGAATACATGACTGAACACTTATTCAATGGCTTAAGTTGTAGCATACAGAAAGTGAAAGATTGAACCAGAATTACAAGAAGCATAAAAAAAATAAAAAAAAAAATAAAAAAATAAATACGTAGAATTTGTAAGTTACCAAGCTTCATTCTGACATAAGTCTGGATCTTCAACAAGACTTAGAATCGTGAAGAATTAGATCCTCTTGATAGTACAATCAACTCCAACAAATACAAATTAAAACATTCCTCAGCAACCTGATAACAGAATAGAAAAATTAGCTCATATAAAATTCATAGCACGACGTCTTCCAATCACTAACACGAATACATGACTGAACACTTATTCAACGGCTTAAGTTGTAGCATAGGACACAGAAGCAAGTATTGGCAATTCCAGTATTAGGCCAATAAAAGAAGTTACATTCATACTTTAAAAAGTAGTACTCCAAGAGGAATCAGCACCCATAAATAACCAATATCAATTGGAAATCCAAACAAGCAACATTATATGTGATTACTTCATGTAGCCAGAAATGCTATAAGTACATAAATAGTCATATTTAGACATAAAACTAAGTTGCATGATGCACCTAATCATTGAAAAAAGTATAGTCATGAAGAAAAAAACTGTCAAACTACCAAAGTTAGAAGCAATGTCTTCATCCCATCAACCACATTTGTACACAATTATGCACCAAACTTGAGCAATCCAAATCTGGTAACACTGTTATAAAAAAGACACTTACAGGAAAATTGGCCCATGAAATCAACCCTCTTAACTTATGATCGTAACGATAATAAAGCGCGACGTAACATGAATTATGTGGTATTTTTAACCTTGATTACCATTTTTACAGTAATTTAACGGTAATCAGGGTACAAAGGTAGACATACTAGACAATGTCCTTTTAACTAAGGCCCAATAATCAAAGTACAGTTCAAAGAAGAAAAGGACAAAAGTTGAGACCTTGAAATCTTTCAAAAGGACCCTTTTTTTTTTGGTTTACAACAGTATTGAAAAAGAAAGATTGAAACTTTACAAAGTCAGACAGTCTGCTTTTCATCAACAATCACATTCCCACTACCAATTTTTGTCAGATTATTTTGATTAGATCCAAATTACACCAATTTTTTAAGGAATTTTTGAAATCCCCAAAATATACTAATTAGTTAAATAACAAAATGAATGAATAAATAAAATAAAATAAAAACCCAGAATTATACTCCAGAAATTGTAAAAGAGATCTGATTCTGAATTTGGAATAATATCCCACTAAAAAATAAAAAATAAAACCCAATAATTAAAAAGTAAAACCCATGATTTAGAACACAAAACATCAAAATTAGCCCAAAAAATAAGCACAAAAATACAAAGAACAGAAAATTTTACCTGACAAGAAACACACAACAAAAAAACAGAACTCTTTGTGTTTTTTGTTGTTGGTGTTGTTGCTGATGTTCCTGCTTCTATGTGGGCTCTGATGAACAAAAATTCCAAAATCCAAAAAACCCAGAATCTCAGTTTCAAAACAGACAACACAACATCCAAAAAACTTAAAAACCCACAAATGAAAAACCTTTGAAAATCAATCAAATGTTTACAGAAATGTTCAGAAACAAAAAAAGTTAACTTTAAAACAAAAAATAAGAATTTTTTTTGAGAGAAAATCAGTTTACCTTATAGAAGTGTTGTTGATCAGTAACAAATTAAAAATTCATCATCAAAATCCCCTAAATCCCTGAAACTAGGTCAACTGTTTCTTCTCTCTAGCAGCTTTCTCTCTCTAGAATTTTTTCTCTCCTCTGTTGGTGGATCATGAAAGGAATGAACAATAGTGAAAAAAACAAGAATTTTGAGCAGAAAATATTAATTATAATAAAATAAATAAATAAATAAATAAAAGGGGAAGAGGCTAATAAATATGGATAGTTAAGCTGCAATAAATACCTTCTCTCTCTCACCAGCTTCACCCTTTAATTTAATTAAATTTCTAGTACTCTCTTTTTGTCCTGTACTTACTTCTTTCCAAAGTTTGACATTTTTTTTTTATACAAAATGAAATAAAAATTAGTGGTATTGTGTTGAATAAAAATACCCAGAAAGAATTTTTATTAATTTTGATTAAAAAGTTTTTTTTTTTTAGGTTGAGGTTTAATTTAAAGGGGACGGCAGAAGAGAGAGAAAGAGAGCAGGCGAAGAAATTGGTCATCAATCCCAAAGCATTCTAATTTTTTCTGTTTTATAAGTGGGTAATGATGCCGTATTATATGGGAGGGTGTTTGTGCATGCAACCTGCTTCTTAGATTTACTACCATGTTTAATAAATTAATTACTAGTATCAGCTCAGATCATGTTGTGATTTGAGATCAGAAATAGAGTCATTGGCTAGGGTTTTGACTTTTACGGAGTACTTTGTTTGGTGAAAGGTCGGGAGTTAAATCTTACAGAGTATCAACATTATTTTTAAGAGGAATGTTTTTTTTATTACATATGGAGTGCATACCTTTTTCCTATAACGAGCTTTAGATTATCTTAAAAGAAAAAAAAAAGTCTTAGATGAATTGAATCAGATTGTCAAGTACATGTTTCAGCTTAATTAGTCAAATTAAGTTTGGTGAGTTTTAGATAACAAATAGGGTATCCTTACAAGAATTCTTTACAGATTTTGAAATAAATCATATCATAACAATAATACTCCGTACTAATAATTGCTTCCTTCGACGTTGTTAGATTGTTTTATTTGTTTTTATACAGTATCTAAGACAAGTATTAAAAATACTTGTATCTACATTTTCATACAATCAAAATTAAAATTAAAATATTACATGTTACTATTATAAATCAAAAAGGTATACATCAAAGTGGAATTAAAATTATTGCATCAGATTATAGTGATTGATGCATACTCCGTCCGTATCTAAAATTTTCTACCATTGACCCAAAAATTACAATAATGGCATAATGCAACTATATTATATTTTAGATATGGAAGGAGTAAAGAAGTAATGACAATTGTCAGTGATTAGAGTAGTCATTATTTTGGCGCTTGAGTAGTTAGAATAATTAATTAATTAATTAATTGTAGTTAAATTCTAAAAAAAGAGAGAGAAGGTGATAATAAAGTAGAAAAGTCAACGGAAGAAAATGGTATGTTAATGTTGGTGGGTTTAAGAGAGGTTGATGAGTTGAAGGGTCACGTTCGTTAGGCCGAGTATACAGGTGAAATACTTAGTTAGTAATAGGGGTGTTAATTCGAGTAAACAGTTTGGGTTTGGGTTGGGTTTATCAGTTTCGCATTATAACGGGTCGGTTTATAACGGGTTGAAATAATTAGCGGATTGGTTTGAGTCGGTTTTGAAAATCATCGGGTCAGTTCGGTTTGGTTTTTTTTTTTTTTGCAGTTTTTATTCGGGTCGGGTTTAATCGGGTTGGGTTGTAGTTAGTTCGGGTCGGTTTTGAAAATCATCAGTTCTATTCGGTTTGGTTTTTTTTTATTGCAGTTTCTATTCGGATCGGGTTATAGTTGGTTCGGGTCATAATCACTTTGGATTGAACCGGGTGGGTTTAAAAACGGGTTTAGCCAGTTTAAAGTGGGTTTCGGTTCAAAATAGTTCAGGTTCTAATCGGGTCAGGTTGTAATCAGTTCGGGTCATAATCAGTTTGGGTTAAACCGGGTCGGTTTGAAAATGGGTTTCGGTTCAAAACAGATCGGGTGAAATCGGTGTTTCGGTCATTATCGGTTCAGGTCATAATCGGTTTGGATGGAACTTGGTCGGTTTGAAAATGGGTTGACCCAATTTGAAGCGGGTTTCAGTCCAAATCATATTGGGTTAAAATCGAGTCGGATCATTATCGAGTCGAGTTAGTCAGATTATGGGTAGGGACGAGTCATGTTATAATCAAGTTAAGTCATAAATAATTTGGGTTTATCGAGTAGTGGGTTGAAAAAGATAAGTTCATAAACATATTAGGTTACAGTTTGTAAACGGCTCAGTCATAACGGGTTACCGGTCGTAAACTGTTCGATCTCAACGGGTTACAGGTCGTAAACAGTTCGGTGTCAATGGGTTACGGGTTGGAAACGGTTCGGTCATAACGGGTTACGGGTTATAAATGGTTTGGTCACAACGAGTCACGGGTTAAATCGGTTCAGATTTATCGTATTTTTGCCGGGTTTAAACAGTTTTCGGTTTAAAATGGGCCGGGTTACTATCGGGTTCAGACGTAATCGGCCCGGGTTGTTTTCAGTTTCGGGTTGTAACGGTTTGGCTTGTAAACGGGTCGGGTTAGTAACGGTTCACACAAATTCGGTTCAGTTCAGTTTCTAGTTAGAAAAAATTGGGTCGGGTCGATTTTCGATTTTCAAAAAACGGGTTTCTAATGGTCCAGTTCCTTTTCTAATCGATTCGAAACAATCAGATTTAACGGTTCATGTTAGAAACTAACATCTCTACTTACTACTGTTGCTAATACTATGTTGTTGGACCACCTTTCATTTTTTTATAGTTGCGTTGCCTTTCTTCTTTTATTGCGTCTCGTTTTTTTGTTTTCCTCTTTCTTTTGCGCGGCATATTTCTTGCACTTGCTACCACATGAATTGCACATTTGTGCGCACTGCCTACATGACTATGGGCATTAGGTAGCCATTTTCATTTTGTCACACTTGAATCTATGGAAAAATTCAAGTTGATCTCTAAGATAAATCAGTAAATATATATCTTCTCACAATATATTGTTTTTCTTTTATTTTTTAAATAATAAAAGTGAAATAATAAAGTGGCATAGAAATCAATGCATAAAGTTGTGAGAGGAGATAAATTGAAATGTTAATCTCAGATATTAACTTGAGCTCCCTCTGAATGTACTATAACTATTGTATTTTTGAAAGTTCGTCTTATTTACTATTTGAAATGATTTTATTTAAGAGGAAGCCTCAATTTATCTTCATGATAAACAAAAATAAATTTACTATTCAAGTAAGCATGACAATTTCGTAAATAAATCAATATTAATGTAACCCGTATTTAATAAAAATTTCTGACTTATGCCACTAGAAAATTACTTTTTGTTTATCATAAAGATAAACTTGTATTTTCTCTTAATTTATCTTAGAATAAATTTCTCATAGGGAAGAATAAAAAGGATTGAGTAGTAAAAAAAATATGGTCAAAGTTATCATGTTATTTGTGCTTTTGAAAGTTTGACCCACCTACTATTTATGTGCTTAAAAATAAGATACTTGTGATGGTTTTTTATAATTTATATAAAAGGAAATTAATTTAACATGTGAGATTTTGTTAGCTTTGTTTTGATGTAAATTTTCAATAATGTAACTATCTACTTCGTATGGAGTATAATTTTTCACTTATATACATAATTGAAAATATTGAATTATTGATGGCCAATTTGAAACCATGCAAATATCAAGCATGGTTTAGTCTATTGGAAAATTTTTGACCTCATGATTGAAAGATCATGCATGGGATCAAATCTCACTAGCTAAGGATTCTTTAGGGGTGAGGTTTCTCTTATCCTCTTCCTCACTCCCCAATAAATCTGACCCGCAAAGTTGGACTGGTTTAACTTGTGAGAGGTGTCGGTTTAATATGGTCCTTCTTCTTACCGTTAAAAAAAAAAAAAAAAAAAAAAAAAAAAAATTGAAGCCATGCCAATGTCAAGTAAATCAAAATTTCTAGATGAATAATGAAGTATGTATTATGCAAAAACTCAAAATAGAAAATAGAAATATAATGGATCTTCACATTATTTTGTTGTATTGCCTGTATTAGGAGAAAGTACGAGTTGATCTATTAGATCAACAAAACATGTCAATATAAGGACAATTTCGATTTTCCCCTTCATTTAGTAGGGTAGTTTGGTAATAGCAGCACAATGATTTGGCAATATTGCCAAATTAAATCACGAATCCAATTGTGCAATCGCTATTATCGTCGATAAAAGCACCACCATGACGCCCAAAAATATGACGCCAAGACCAAAACCACCATCATAGCGAGTGAGTGACACCCCTATTGTCGCCAACCACCAAGAAGAAGGCGTCGGCATTTAACGAAGTACGAAGTCCTTTTTTTAGATCATTTTTTAAAATGGAGATTTTAGAGCTTTCGATAGAGAAATTAAAGCTCAAAGGGCAATGTTAATGAAGGTGGATGACACCCCTCCCCTGTAGGATTAACCATGCCCTTCATTTCACCATTTTATCAAGGAATTCATTTAATTTGGTGGCGAAGCTGTCGTAATGTCGTCAGTGGAAGGTGGAGACGAAGAAGATGGTGTCGGTGGAAGGTGAAAACGATGCAGATGATGTCAGAAATGGTGGAATTGGTGGTGTCGGTGGAAGGTGGGTGGAGAGCGGGCAAGGTGGGTGGTGTCTATGGAAGCTTCAATGGAGGATTATCCAATGTTGATAACTAAGAGTGGACTAAGTAATAGATTGACATGTTTTGTTGATCTAATATATCAACAGGGATCTCCTCTTATATTAGTGATGTTACTTGTTTAGATAAGTAAGGGAAATCTAGGTATATAAAAGTAGTTCTTAAAAGTTATAGAAATGTTGTGTTAGATAATATGAAACTTCTTATTCTGGAGTGTATACCATTGATCAAAATATATAGGGTTACAACCTTAAGTTCTAATCACGTTAGGAAATCTCAAAAGATAATTACAATATTCACAAAATATATCCTTCTATAACGGAATATTTATCGTATAGTCTATCACACTCCCGCACTCATAGCAGGAGGAGGACGTACGCTAAGACTGAACCTAAATTCCAGAAATAGTTGTCGAGGTAGGCCTTTTGTGAAGATGTCTGCAAACTGATACCGATCCGAGATGGAACATGCAAGACCCGTACATGCCCCAACGCCACCTTTTCTTGGACAAAATGAATATCCATTTCGACGTGCTTGGTGCGTTGGTGCTGTACGAGATTAAGAGAGAAGTAAATAGCGTGACATTATCACAATAAACAATAGTAGCCTGTCGGAGAGGACATTATAACTCCAAAAGAAGATTACGAAGCCAATAAGCCTCGGCAAAAACATTTGCGATGCCCCTATATTCCGCCTCTGCACTTGATTTAGAAAGAGTAGGTTGACGCTTAGAAGACCAGGAAATGAGATTGTCTCCTAAGAAGCAACAATAACCTGAGGTCGAGCGACGAGTGTCCGGACACCCGCCCCAATCTGCATCAGTATAAGTAATCAAGTTCATAGGAGGTGAAGGATATAAGTGTAACCCGTGACCAATGGTACCCTGAATATATCGCAGAATGCGTTTCAATGCATCATAATGAGCCTCTCTGGGATCGTGCATGAATAGACAAACCTCCTGAACTGCATAAGCTATATCAGGGCGAGTAAAAGTTAGGTACTGTAATGCACCTGCAAGACTGCGATAAAGTGTTGGATCATGAAATTTGGGTCTGGACTCTGCGCTGAGCTTGGACTGAGTATCAACTGGTGTAATACCATGTATTTTTGAAACATATTTTCTCAATAATTAATTAATTAATTCATATTTTCTAAAAAGGGTATCTTAGTAATTTATTTTACTATTTGAATTTTGGAGCCAAAATGATATTTGAATTTTGGCGCCAAATACATTTTAAAACTCAATAATTATTTTGGATTTTGGATAAGATTTATTATCCATTTATTTTATTTTAAAAACAGGATTATTTATATATTTAGGATATTTTAATTAAAGAAAAAACTATAATTTATTATTTAATTAATAAGGTCCGAAAATTCCTAATTATTGACTAAGAATTTCGGATTTTCCTAGTTTGGAAAATCTGATTTTCTAGGTTAATTTATTTAATGAATAATTGGTATCTTTTTAATTAATTATTTTATACAATAAATATTATTTACACGATTATTTTTAATTCCTTAAATCTAGCAAAATAACTCCCTAAAATATACTAATACTATCCGAAAATTTGAGCTATGGAAGCTCAATATCTTCGGCCCTCATGGTCAAATTTTGGGTGATTTATTCTGGAAAATCGTATTCTTAATTATCTCCTTAAAATCTCTTATTTTCCTTAATTTTATTTCTCCATCTCCTAAATATTTTATCATCTTATTTTCCTACCTTATATCTTCCTTGATTGTTCCCCAAGTAATCTCTTTTGCCATATTATTTTTCATGACAACACACTTTCCTTAATTATATTATTCTTAATCACCTTAATATCAAAACTTTCCATATTTCTTTCATTCTCTTCTCCAAGTAATTCCTTAATTCTTTTTACCATAATTCTTCCTATATTCTCTTACCATAATTCTTGCATGAGCTAGCCTATAAATATCCCCTCATACCTCTCATATTCTTCACACCAAAAACTCAACTCTCTTCTTCTCTTTTACTCTTCTTTTCCCTCAATCTTTTCCTACTTTTCTTCTCCTATTTTCTAAAAGAAAATTTGCCCGTATATCTTTGGAGCCAATTTTTGGGAACTTCTGGTCAGTTTTGGGGTTTTTCTATTTCACAGAAAATTATTTCTCCCAAAAAATCCTTGAGTTTAGGCTCAAGAATCACCCAATTCGAAGTTTTATCAAAGGAGTTATGACCTCTGCAAGTTCTGCCTATTCTTTCCAACGCAAATTCAATTCTCTTTAATCTTATTCCTTTATTTTCTTCAAGGTTAGTTTTCTAAAATATAAATAACTATTTCAAAGTTATAATTTTATATTAAAGTATTATTTTTAAACGAGTTTTATAGTCCATGCACATTAGATTTGGATTTATGTCTAAAGATGTTGTGATAACCTTATGGTTATGTCAATTGCAAGGTGTATTCGTGATTGAACTTTGAAAGTGCAAAGTGTTGATTGATATTCAGAATCAAGGTACGTTTAGGTGGCTAGATACCTTAGAAAGTGATTGGTTTGAATAACATGTTTTATATGATTTTATTGATGACTGAATTAAATTGATTTGAATCATGATATATGAAATAAAGTATCTTTGGAGGTATTGATTTTAAGATTTGTTTTAATAAATGTATTTTTAAAGGATTGATTTTAATATCATGTTTTGAATGGTTTGAAATTATTTATTATGTTTAAAGGAATTTGGTTTTTTTAAAAAAAAAGTACTACCTCCGTTTTTTTTTATGTGCAACTTTGGGGTGAAATACGGTTCATGAGGAAAAAGATTGAAGGGTAAAGTTTAGGAAAAGTAAGTGGGTTTAATTAAAGTGGAAGGAGAGAGAAAGTCCACACTTTATTTTGTTGGTGGGAAATTTTGGCAGAAAGTACAATAGCCAAAATTTCCCCCCAAAACCCACCGAAAATTAAAAGGTGGGATTTTTTGGGGTGAAATTTTTGTTTCCCCCCTTTTTTAAAAAATTTCCAACCAAAGTCATTTTTTTCCAAAATATTTAGGAGGCTATATAAACATACATGCCCCCATATAATTCTACCATTCAACATTTAAGGAGGGAATAAAATCATCCTCCATTGTCAACCATTAATTACAACCAATATTGTTTGAAGGTGGGTGAAACATTCCACCAAAAACAGAGTTTCTTCCCAAAAGATTAGCATTTCCTACCTAAACCGTTACGGTTAGCATAATTACACACTACAAACCATTAAAAGCTTTACAAAAACAGGGCTTCTCTGCTGTCCTTCCTGCACAGGTGGGTTTAGTGTTCATCTTCAACCCACACAACTCAGCAGGGCCCTGACTCCATCTCCCTGTGCTGAAAAACAGAAATGGCAGAAAATGATGACTCTGTTTTTTTTATATCGAACACATTCTAAATGAAGAACAGATGGCAGAGTTGTGGTTCGAGGAAGAAGAAGAAATGCAGGATGCAGGCATTTGGGAGTACGACTCAGAAGATGAAATCATGGAGGGCAACCAAGAAGAACAACAACAGCAACAACAGGCAGACACTAATGTTCAACACACACAAATGCAACAGCAAGCTCATGAAGGAACTCATAGTGTATGCAGAAAGCAATTAACATTGCAGCAAAGAAGGAAAATTGTAGATGCACTTTGGGTGAAAATGAACAATGGGACATTACCAAGGGGTCACATGAAGCAATTATCATCTGAATTCTATGTTCACTAATCAACAATCACAAGAATCTTCACAGACATAAAAAGGCAGCTGGCATTAGGGGACTTGATTGATGTCAGGACTAAAAAAATTGGCAAAACAGGGAGAAAGCCATTGCAAATTTCTGATGAAACTCTCCAGTCAGTCCCACTACATTTAAGGCAGACAAAAAGGAGCTATGTAGGAGCATTGAAGATCAGTCTTAGTACAGTTCACAATTTGAAGAAGAGGGGAAGGCTAAGAACACACACATGCTGCAACAAACCATTGCTAACATCAGACCATAAGATAGCCAGACTAAGATGGGTTTTGTCACATATAAATCCAGTTACAGGGAATGAGGACCCCACATTTGTTGACATGAGGAATGTTATACACTGTGGTGAGAAGTGGTTCTACTTGAACCCTGACAAAAGGAGGTTTTACCTACTGCCAAGTGAGGAGGATCCCTATATGGAAGTTCAGTCAAAAAGATTCAAGCTCAAGGCAATGTTCATGGCAATCATAGGGAAGCCATTATATGGCATGAATGGAGAACTGTTACATGATGGGAAGTATGGCATCTTCCCATTCACTGTCCAGATAGAAGCACAGAAATCAAGCAAGAAAAGACCAAGAGGGACTATGGAAACTAAGGCACTCCAGAATATAAATAGAGAAGTAATCAGAGAGATGCTACTAACAAAGGTCATTCCAGCAATCATGTCAAAGTGGCCTGAAGGTCTGCCCAAGGATGTGGTCATCCAATGGGACAATGCAAGGCCTCACCAAGTTCCTACAGATGCTGAGTTTCTGGGAGCAACAACAGCTAATGGCTTTAACATTCAATTTGTTTTTCAGCCAGCACAGTCCCCTGATTTGAATGTCCTTGACTTAGGGCTATTTAGGTCTATACAGTCTTTGCAATATCAGTCTTTTCCTAGGGACTTAGATGAGCTGGTTGCAAAGGTCAAAGAGTCTTATGGCACATTCAACCCCCAGGTTAACAAGTACATCTGGGTTACATTGCAAAAATGTATGATTAAGATACTCAAGGCTGAAGGTGGTAACAAGTACAAAATACCACATATGAACAAAAAAAGGCTGGAAAACCTAGGAAATCTTCCAGATTTGGTAGAGGTTCAGAAAGAGGTTGTATTGGAGGCTGTGGAGTACCTAAACACTATGTTTAGGCCAGCAAATCAAGGGACTCAAGAACTCATAGAAGATTTGGAGGTGGATGCAGATTAGGGGACTCATTACAAGAACCAGACAACACATGGGCTGCCACACATAACCACTTCTCCTAGTAAGTTCCATTTTTTGTTTTATGAAAACATTGTTGAAGAATCAAGTGGTTAGGCGTATTTTGTTCAAAACAATTATCCAAACTAGTAAGGCAGTCTGTTGTAATGTCTTTAGATTATTATGATGTGGTCTTTTGTAATGTTTTATGTTCATTACTCAAAGTTATTGTGTTTTGTACCCACATTTTTAATGGAATATGAATGACAAAGATAGGCAAGTTATGTGGGCAGTCAATCCATCAGAGGGTTATAGTGTTATTATTGAATACTACACATATGCACAAGGTTACCTCAAACAACAACATCATTATGCATGTTGATGGAGCAATGCACTTGTGCATAGTGAAATTCAATGGAGTCCCTTCATCATCTGGATATGGGTAAGCTAAATAGCATATCAAACTATGGGACTCAATACAAACCAGGAAACACAAGCCAATCACAGGGGACTCCTTCTAAGGGACTGACTAGGCAACAATGACCATGCACAAGACAACAGCCTCATCATTCATCAATCAAGTCCACAAAGCCAACATCAAACATAAGGCATCCCAAAACCATGGCCATCAACAAAAACACACACCCTAACCTCAAACATAATCCAAAACAGTCCATGAACTCCACAAAGGCAACATTAACCAGAAGCCAACATCAAACATCCTACATCATTCCAACAAAACAACTACACACACCCAACATCAAAAAAATAACCCACAACAGTCCACGAATCCACACAGGCATCATCAACCAGAAGCCAACATCAAACATCCAACATCATTCCAACAAAACAACATAACAGGCAATAGATCAACACAACAAACCCTAGTATCCAGCATAAATCAAAACAACAAACCCTAGTATCCAGTATAGATCAACACAACAAACCCTAGTATCCATAAATCAAAACAACAAACCCTAGTATTCCGAATAGATCAACACAACAAATAATTAAACCCCCACATTTAACATAACCAACAACCCAACATGCAACCAGATTCAGTCAAACATTCCCACAACATCAAACAAAGTATCCAGCATAGATCAACCCACAAAAAATTAGGACTCTTTTTTTTTAAAAAAAAAAAGAATATTAGGGTTAGAAATCGTTACGCAAGCGTCAGCCCTCTGCCTCCTCATCAGAGGACAACACCACGAAGCCGGTGGCAGGCAAACCCCGCATACGGCTCAGCGCCACCAACGCCGCCTTCCTACGCTACCTTTTCTTTGGCGGAGGCCTGGAAGCCTTAGATCGGGGCTTGGGGGTGGGCGCAGCACTGGCCTCCCCACTTTGGGACTCCAGATCTACAGAAACGACATCAAAATCAAGCCTTTTTTGTCCATGGGACTCGCCTTCACCCTCAACCCTCTTCTTATCCGCCTCGTCAATTTTTTTCAGCACTTCCCCCAACGCCTTGAAGGTGGTCGGAGAACAGCAACTTGGGCCATTTTCATGGGTGTACAGGCGACGAGGAAAATCATCGCCTCTGTTCAGGTCGTTAATCAGGGACTTGATTAACTTAGCCTCACTTTGGGAGTCGGTGCTGATGTAGGCGTCAATCAGTGGATCAAGGTCATTTAAGGCAATTGTGGAGTCTGGATGTCGAGCGAAAGGGGAGGGAAAGGGGGATGACATGACTTTGGGACTGTGGATTTTGAAGGAAAGGGCGAAGGAGACGAAGAAGACGAAGAACACAAAGAAGACGAAGAAACTGATCTAGGGTTCTAAAGAACTCTCTAGATCAGTTTAATAAAGGTGGTTGGGAAGATGAGGAATCGTGTCGGTTGGGAGGAGTAAATGGAGGGAGTAGTTAGGTTAGGCTAATTTAGTGGATTTAAGTTAAGTGGGGGTTATGGGTAATGAGGGGTAAAAGTAAGAAGGTTATAATTTTTAATGAAGGGCAATATAGTAATTTAAAGGGTTTTTGTTTACCAAAAATAGAATGAAAAAAGAAAGTTGCACATAATAGTGAACGAACTAAAATGGCAAAAGTTGCACATAAAAAGAAACGGAGGTAGTATGTTGGATTGTTTTAAAGAATTTTTGAAAAGGTTTTTCAAAGGAAGATTTATTGATTTTGAAAAATTATTTATATGAGATTTAATTCTCAAGTATTTATTAAAAGGTTGATTTTGAAAGCACGTTGAATTAAATAAAAAGGAGTTTTGAGTTAACCTATTATAAAGGTTGATTTTATTCAAAGAGGAATTTTATTGAATTATTCATTAAAGCTTTACAAGCATGTTGTTAGTAATCCCACTATGTGGATTTGGTAGATAAGACTTTGGACTTTGTATGACCAAGTCTTTCCTCAAGAATAGCCTTGCAATATAAGGAGACTAGCTTGAGGGGTGTGCACACTTGGGTGAGGAATTGGTTTTAAAAAGAGGAATTCGTTTTATTGAATTGATTATTGAAATATTGAATTATTGGAATTGGTTTTATAAATAGTTTCATCGAATTATTGAATTATTGAGAATTGGTTTTGAAACATGAGTTTTGGAATTCATTGGATTAATTATTGGAATTGGTTTTAAAACCATGTTTGCAAATATATTGAATTTACTTATCTTGCACTTATCGTACTTAGCATATTTTGCTAATCTGTATTTCCTATTTGTTTTGGTTCGCCCTATTTACCGTAAGGTAAGCAGTGTTGACTATTTTCAGATAGACTCATGAATGAGCATATGGGAGTCTCGGGATTTGCTTCACCTAGTTTAGGAATGTTGGGCTTGTCTTTATTTTGAGTACTCATAACAATGTTACTATTTTTATAAGTATTACTAAAAGAAAGTTGAGTTTCCGCTGCAAGTTTTGTTATTGAGTTAAGTATTTTGAGTAGCCTTGCGTAATCACGAAACGGTAATACGCCTAAGTCTATCTCTACGATATAATTATACGTATTATACTAGTATTTCCGTGGAGGGAGATTTGGGGGTGTTACAACTGGAGTCGCCGCAAGCTTACAACTGCTCATACATGCGCGCTCTAAAATTTCCTGAGCATATTTCTGTTGAGACAAAAACAGATATGAAGGAGTACGAGTGACAACAATGCCCAGAAAATAATTCAGAGGACCTAAATCAGTCATTGGAAATTTTGTATGTAAGTGCGAGATGATGTGCTCACGTAACAGATCTGAGGATGTAACCAACACAATATCATCAACATATAATAGTAAATATGCCATATCGTCCCCATATCTGAAATTGAATAGAGAATTGTCACTCTTGGCAATGACAAACCCCATCTGCAGAAGATAAGTAGCAAAACGCAGATACCAAGCCCTTGGGGCTTGTTTTAGGCCATAAAGAGCCTTACAGAGCCTGCAAACATAGCCTGGGAACCTCTTGTCAACAAACCCGGGGGGTTGATGCACATACACACACTCATTCAGATCACCATGCAAAAAGGCATTTTTCACTTCAAGTTGGTGAGTAGACCACTTACGAGCCATAGCCAAACTCAAAACTGTACATATAGTGGCCGGTTTAACAATCGGACTGAAGGTTTCATGACAATCAACACCTTCTACCTAAACAAAAATTCCGCGACTATAAACTATAAGCTAATTATGAAGGATGACACCAAGTACAGCAACAAATTAATTTGCTATTGTCAAAAAAAAAAAAAAAAATTGACAACAATTCATGTTTTTACTGTTTTATTAAATATTGTACGTTTTGTAAATTATTATTGGATAGCATGTTAGCAATTTAGGCCAAAGCTTATTTCCTTTAATTTTAGGGGAAATAAGTTTGGATGAGGGGTAATAAGTTAAGTTTAAATAAGACAAATTTTAAAATAATAAGTTGAGATAATCTTTTTTATTTTTTAATTACACTAAAGAATAAAAATAAGTTTAAATAAGTGAAAATTACAAAAGTAGGTAAATAAAATGTACAGTATCCGTATTCTTACTTCTTATTGCAAGTACTTTTTTGAGCTGACTTTGTTTATTGCATTGATGCTTTAAAACCCACCACACTTAGTCACTTACCTTGAGTGTTGACTGTTGAGAGCCATAAAAAGAAATTTTAATTGATAAAAAAAATGGTTGACTTATACTAAGTAGATCTTGAGGGACAAAATGCCTAAGATTAAGCTTAATTCCATGTATATTGGCCTGAAGAGGACAAGACATGATACAATTGCTAAGGAAGCTTAATCTTAATCTGCCAAGTTCAAAACAACTACATACAGCTAGCTAATGTGACCTTTACTCCCTCTTACAAATAATACGATGATTAAATTTTTCTCAACAAAAATATTTTATTTATTTATTTTTTTAATTTTTTTTTTTTTTTTTTTTTTTTTTTTTTTGGGGAGGTGGTGGGGGGGAGGGGGATTATGGTTGTACACTTGTACATATTCAATTCCTTTGATTTGATTTGAATTTTTCTTAATCCGATTTCTATACTATATGACTAAACTTTGGCTATTTGTACAATTTGATTGGTTATTTTATAGTAGGAGTATAATCTTTTAGATAATAGAGAGAGTATAGTTTACAATTTTACTCTATCGATTCATTCTTAAATAAAAGTTCTATTAATTAGAAAGGTTAATGTAAAAAATAAATGGTGGATTTGGTTGGTTTAAAGAGAAACAATAAAATATATACGGAGTATTACCTATAAGAAAACCAAAAAGATAAGTTGTGTTCAAATGATAAAAAATATTAAGGTGAAATGAGATTTTTTATTTGGGGACAACGGAACAACTTGATTGATTTGTTTGTTATAAATATAGTACACTACATGTACCAAATTAGCATTGAAAATCATTAAATATCACAGAGTAAAAGAGAATAGAAAAATAAGGGTAGTGTAGGTGTTTTTTGGTGGATACCAATTCAATTCGTATAGAGTAGGGATGACAATTCAATCTGAGTTCGATTCGAATCCGTCCGAAGAAAAAAAAAAATTGATCCGAATCCGATAAAATAGATTCGAATTCGAATAGAAGGCGGATCGGACTTGGACCCTAAGCAAAGTCTTATCGAGTTCGGCCCAAGTCCGAGTTTGAGCATATGGTTTATAACTTGGGACAATTACTTGCTTGTTTTGTAGCAAAATTTTGTTATGTAACTTTTTTTTTTTTGGCGGTAAGATAGGGGGGGGGGGGGATCCCCCACCCTATCACAGGAATGGGGGGATCCCTCTATTTCCTATGTCCTTTTTTTTTATGTAACTTAGTTTATAATTAAAATATGTTAAGTTTATACTTCACCCAGTATGACAATACAAGCAATTATAGGTATATCACACATTACAAAAAAATAAAAATAAAAAAAAAATATTTGGACCATTTCGAAGGTCCGAATAAACGAACCGGTTTTGGATCCAAAAATTATGAGTCGGATCGGACTCAGATTCGGATTTTTCGGATTCAAATTCGAGTCCAAGGTCCGTTTACTAAACAGATCTAATTCGGATTTAGCCGTATCCAATCCGTTGTCATTCCTAGTATAGAGTTAGTTATATTCTTATGTACGAGTAACAAAAATATAAGAGGGTAAGACTCTTTTAAGTTATATATCTTGTTTATCCACAAAAAGTTTCACGTGTCACATATGCTTGCTATATAGAAACGCTTTTTAAATGATTACTATAGATTTTACCTTTGTAAAACTTAGATTTGCGAGTATAATGTAGATTCATTTGACATTAAACCCTTATTACTCATTATATAGTCTTGTAACTGTGTAAGGTAATTACATATCTTCATTTTTATTCCCCAACTTATTATGTTATTGTCCATTTATTATATTATATTACAGAGTACAACATAAATCATATGAAGAGAATAAAACTAGAGGAAAAAAAAATTCACTTGATAATATACATTGAAACAATTTCATAGACGTTTTACATGATAATATTTGTTTAATATATACTGCATATACATAATAAAATTAGATAATTAAAAAGAGAGCTTTATAGATAGTGTTAAAAGTCAAAGTGAAACAACTATCAGCAAACGAAGGTAGTTTTCGTAGGACTTATGGATCAAAGGGATAACACTTGCTAGAAGGTGAAATAGGATGATCAAAGTTAAAGATGGCACTGGGCCGGGCCAGGCCGAAGCCCGGCACAGTCCAGCACGAAAAAAGCACAACACGGCACTGTATTGTGCGTGTGGGCCATGGGCCAGGCTTGAGCCGCCTTCATTTGTGAGAAGCACGATAAGGCACGGCATGGCAAAGCATGCTAAAATCAATGCAATTTTGCTTAGGCGCGCAAGCCTGGCATAGCCCGACACACGGGCCAACCTTTTGAAAACTTCGGCCCGGCACGAAACTCGTGAATTGGACCTAACTAACCCCAAAGCACGTGGGCCTGACATGAGACACGACCCGACACGGCCCAGAGCCATCTTTAATCAAAGTACACCACAAAGTTGGTAATATTGTCTCAATCCAAGGGTTGAGCTTTGAGGTGTGCAAGTGATGCATTAAGAGATGGTGGAATACGGCTGTAATACAACACAGCTAAGTTTAATGCAAATCTAAGATTCTACACTTCATTCTAAGGAATATCATGCAATTTGCACACTAAGAGTTGTCATTGCGGGTGTCAATTTCATGACACCATCAAATCTTCGTGTTCAATATGCAAACTGTGAAGACGTAACCAATTCATTTCGTAATATTAATAACAAAATTTGCAATGAAATTTGAGGTTGATATCGGTCCTCAATTCATTATGACTTGATGTATCTGCTTCTTTTGAAAGTTGTTAGGGCACCTAACATCGAACATAAAGACAATTATTTTTATCTAAGTATACATTTTCCGCTACTGTAAAGTTACAACAATTTGACTATCACATTTGCAAACACATAACTTTGCCAAGTGCAAAAAAGAAAAAATACTACTCAGAAAAAAAAACACCCGAAGAAGCTAGAATAATGTATTGCGTTATTTCCTTTCCAAGATCATCATTGCTTCAGTTCTTAGCCTTGTCATAATTTGAAAAACTACTCTATTACGTACTCGTATTTGGTTTTATTTTCCCTATATTGGCTATATAATAAGGTATGTTGTAAACCTCCATTCCCAACAAATGAAATGTTGGAGAAACGTTTACACCATACCTTATAACATCATTCACAATCAATGAGAATCTAACATTGCTTCAACCCTAAAGGAATTGCAGTATTGATTGTAGCTATGTAGTACAAAAGCCTAGTCCACGTCAATGTGAGGCAGACTGCCCTATTGTTTGAAATCATTTGGCTTGCCAATCTGTATGTTCTGTTCCTCAAGAAATGCGGTGATTGCCTTCTTCTGCCATCCCTTGAAACTCCTGCATTCAATTTGCAGCCAGGGTCAACTTCAGAGTTGATGTTTCAGTAGGAAAATGGGACTGACGTCTTGTAAAAACAAACAATAGTTAACACAACGTAAACCAACAATGGATAATCATTGCACAAAGCACAAGGCAAAAGCACAACTAAAACCGCTGTTGATCAGTTAATCATTAGAACACAAGGATTTATGAATTGTCATGGTTCTTAAAATGCCAAATAATCCTGTTGTTCTGATGAAGAGAGGTACCTATAACTATCTTAATTGATATTTTAAAATTTTATTCTACAAGTCTGATTAACTCAAAATTCCTCTTTTATCTGAAAAGCACAAAGTATCACCAGATGCCATATCAGTCTTTTTTACAGGGAGCTCAAGACTACTATACAAATCGTGTTAACACGAGGAGATGTTTAAATGATACGAAGTATTTTTTAAATTGCCTATAAATTCAATAACATTTTGATCATAGTGCTGGAAGCCTGGAAGTATGAGAGGTTAATATACATGCAGTTCATAACCTAACAAGCAATGAGATTGCCTAAAAAAGAAACCGTAACAGTGTTTGGATGAGAGAAAGAATAAAGGGAGAGTGATGGATCTAATTACCTTTAATAGGAGAAGATTAGCAAAAGGGAATCAAACAGAAAGGAGAGATCTAATTTCCTATCCCTATTTACACAAAATAAATCCTTCTAAAAGAAGAGATTTGAAAGTAAAAAACAAACCCACTTCCTCCTCTCCTTATTATTGCTACTCAAACATTCCTGATTTACAAGGGAATGTTTCTTACTAAAGATAAAGTGCCAAGGAATCCCAACAACAAAAGGGTGAAAGGTTTTAATCACCCAATGGATTACCAATTATAGTAGTATGGACTCTTACCTGTGACAAGTACGGAGTAATTATACAAATCTTGCTTGGATAAATGTTCTCGGTGAAAAGTAGTCTTAATATTCCATCATAAACTAAAGAAAAGTAGTCAAATAACTCACTGGACAAAAGGCAAAAAGGAACAAAGTCTTTTCATTTTCTCTTGTTATAAAAGCAAAAAAGGAACAGCATCACTTCATTCAACCCCCTTGCACGTGAGAACGTATTCGCAGTTTATGGTGCTAGAAATTGCTGATCTTCAACTAGAAAATGTAAATTAAATAATAATACTTTGTTTTAGATAAAGCCTCTTCTTAACAATGTCCCTACTCCAAACTCTCAGGGAGGCAAGGGGGTGAATATCATGAAAAGAATCTTAAGGCAGCTTAATTCCTTTTTAATTTTGAGTTTGAATCTCTTATACACTCCAAATGGGCATTCCACACAATTATGGTTCTAAAGTACCATAAAGATTACTTCCCTTCCCCACAAGCGTACAAGACCACAAGTATCAACTGAAAAGATGATTGCAAAAATTGGGGCAAGTAATTTCACAGTCCATTCTGCAGTAAAGCCTTTTATATTTAGTCGTTCATTGTGATACTCCCAATAAGCTGAAGGGACACACTTCACCATCATCTAGCAATCTTAGCTATTTTCACGCATCCTCGTTACTATGATTTAATTACTCAATCATATTATTCCTTGAATACACAATAAGAATGTTTGGGTCAAATAGCAAGGACCTACTCATCTCAAACATCTCACTTTTCACTCCCTTCTTGCTCTTTTCTTTGTAAGGTTTGGGCAACAGGAAAGGAAAGAGAAAAATGAGGAACTGATCCTTTTTCTTTCAGCCAATCAAACTGACACTTTCAATGTTCTAGTTTGTACCAGTTGATAGTTTAAAAGGCATTATAAACATCAAAAGTACACTATTCTCCAATAGAGTAAAAAATAATTAAAAATACATCATAAGGCAACTTGTTAATCTTTTAGTTATATGTTGGACCATTTTAAATGTCCTCTGTTCCTTCTGAGACGTGACACAACATGATGACCTAGTCCCAATCAAGGGTCCAACAGAAACAAACATTACATAGTTTCAGGGTGAGATCGCATCCTGTTAAATCCTCCGGTAACCAGGCACCTCATGATGTACTAGAACACCAGTGCAGTACTCAATGGTAATTATTAACTTCACACACAAACCTTCATTTAAAATTTTTTGCTTAATAATTCACAGATTTAATGATCTAAATCTGATCATCAGCTTCTCGTAACACCCATTGAAATATTTGGAATCACATCATATCGATCATTAAATAAGGAGTAACAATAATACTTCACTTACTGCAGAAAGATATTATAAATATTCCATAAAAAGAATCGATTGGCGGATAAAAACTAACTTGTGATCAAGATGAGCCAGAATTTCTCCTCCAGGAAAAGCAATTTCAGTAGCCTCATATGCAGCTCTGATAGCTTCTTTCCAGGTACCACCAATACATTTAGCAGCTTCTACTTTTGACTGGCCGGGGTCATCCATTGGCAAGGAATATCCAGAGAGCAGATGGCCCACCCAAACATTTTCTTTCCTGTATATAGTTTCTTACAGTTAAAGGGGAAGCACTAGCAGGCTGTAGAGCACAGCAATGGCACCTCGCCAAATGCTTCAACAAAGGAAATTTTCTACTTTTAGACTAAAAAATTGTAATAAAGAAAATATAGGTAGCATGACTAAAATCATATTCAACTAAGACATAAATATATTTCTTCAAAGATAAGCATAATTAATAATTTTTCTTTCCTCAAAATGCAGAGAACCACAAGAAACTCATTTCATTACTGTCTGTACACTGTACAAAAACCCAATCTGCTTGGAAAGCAAAGAAAGCCCCCAGTCATTTATCATAGATCACAAAAGCTGGTGCAATTCCCTTCAAATCTTCACTACACTTGGAAACTAAGCAACTATTTCATAAAAACAGACGTTTTATCACCTTGGCAAAAAGCCAAATTATGTAGTCTACAGCTTTACTTGTACAAAGTTGTGGTACTACATTAATTCATTTCCATAAGATAGATCTCCACTCATGAAGTGTAACTAACGATTCCAATACAATGCAAGGCAATTAGAAATCAATTGAACAGAGACTATGCATAATCCTTTAAACATGTAAGGTTTAACATAGCAAATGAGTTTAACAAAATGACTTACATAATTATGTCCATGTGACGAGGTACATAATGACCACCTCCAATCCCTATAATAACTTTCTTTCTGTCAGAATTCCTGAATGAATGTGTTTACACATTAGATGAATCACGGTATTGCATTCCATAACAGGACAAGAATTTGGAAAAAGAAAAGAAAAGAAGCAGAAAAGGTAAACTCCTTTAATAATTTACTTTTTAAGGTAAATTGTAAAATGTGTGAACTTCAATCTGTCCACAAGTACTACAATTAACAAACCAAACTTGACACCATGCAACAAATAACAGAAACTTTCAAATTTACTAAAAAACATTATACTCATCGAAGATCCACTAAATAGTAAGAAGTATTTTCGAAGTATAAAAGAATCTAAATTTTACAATTTTAAGGTGTGAGAAAAATATATAACTGGTATTACATTTTTTCTGCAATATAAAATATAATTCAATGATTTCGAACTATTAATCTATTGTAATACATACTAGTCTTAGCAGAATCTTAGGTCCCAGACTTCCAGCTAAAACATCAAGCTATTGGGCTGTTGGCAGTAGTAATTTCAGAATATATGTCATTCATTGCAGGACAAAAATGGCTGGAGATGCGCCATAATCCACAGCACATGTTTTGATCAATGAGCCCTTTTTGTTTAATATTTCTTTCCTTCAATTATAGTGGTTGTTCCAGCAATAAACTTAAAATAATAACCATGGTAACACCATTTTTTTTCTACAGGAGTCCAAATTTTTATGAAAACTCTTCAAGTAACTAGATATGCATAAAGAAACTATATTAAGCATAATACAGAGGCATATCAAGAGCACCTTACACATAACAGTTATCTGGACTTTGAAGAGATATTACCAATTATACTTGCACAACAATGGGACAATCCGGGGGCCAAAAGGGTTAAGAAATCATGCTTGTGAATAAGTCAATAGATCAATGCAGCAAAAACAGCCAACACGTGAGCTAGTGATTAAGACCTATAAATGAAACAAAAGTAGCTAGTCCAGGGCACCAACTGCTAAAGAAAAAAAAAAGTGTACCTGTCCCATATACCCACAGGAGAACCTCCTCCAAGTCCAAGCCCTTCCCAGACCAACTACAAACAATTAAGATGTTAAGAGGATGCGGAGGGCACCTATATTGATCAATTTATGGCAACACTTACAGAGACACTACATAATAAAATAATACATCAGAGTATCTTCAGTATTATACAATGAAGATAGGTGAAACTTTTTCTGATGGTTAATACCTCCTTGTTAAAGGGCTGCAACAAGCTCTTAGAAAAAAAAAAACAACTTTCATCTCAGATAAAGAGAAATCAAACTAAGATATAAATACAGAAAAGAAAAAAGAAGGGAAAAAAAAAAAAAAAAAGAAAAAGTGGAGAAGTAACTCAACTATAGCCATGACTTCAGCAGCATCCTCTCTCTGCCAGTACTCCAGAGTGCTACCTATACTACCAAAAGCAAGCAAATAAGAAGCCAGCAGCAAGATAAGATTTAGATAACCAATAACTTCAGGAACGGGATTATAATAGTCACTCTACCCAAAATATGGCAACCCATCAATTCCACAAAACAATCCAAAATGATTAAAGAAGTTTGACTTTTGGCCATTAGCATGATGTGAATTTTTACAGAGATGCCCTGAATTTCTATATATCAGAAGGAAAACACAGAACAACTAATCCAGATTGCCTTCAACCTTGTGAGCAAAAGTATGAATATTCACCACTGTATCTGTTGGCCAGTTCAAGGAATGTAAAGATTATATCACAACGAAGTTGAAGACTATAATTCTACAACTTTTGGATAATAATGTACTAAAATAAGATGGATTAAAGTGCCAGAGCTTCTTAATAACTACTTGTATGAAATGACGTATGGACATTGCATATCAAATCAAGGGTCAATTAGAAACAATCTCTGCTATGCATGGTAAGAGACTAAGAGTATGTACATCAACAGTGTGCTTGGATAGGTGTCACAGCTAAATATTTTGCTTGGCATGAAGGCTTATATCTCCCTAACAAGTCTAACACACGTAAAAACAATAGCATGATAAACTATAATGCATACAAAATGATAGTGTAACAACGAATTTTTTTTTTTACTATATGGTTGCATCGACTTGGATGCCTTGGACAATCCCTAAGATAATTTGTTTATAGGCAACTAGGCATTATAGCCCCACTCCCTTGGCCAAACAAACATGCCAATTGGCTAAAAATGCATTGAGAGGACTACAAACTAAAGAAATTACAATAATCATAACCAACTCCTCTAGCCAACTATTCATGCAAATCACAACAACACAACATTTTACTATATTGCCATTTCCCACATGTGACCTACCAAATTCTTATCATGCGCCTTATATTACAATATATAATACATATGCAACATACACAATATCATTAACTCAAATATTGCCACACCTATGCATGCAACTACATTGCCAATGCCTACGCATGCACCAAGGCCCCATCACTATGTCACGCATCCGAGTCCACAAGTTCAAGCAGACCTGATGTGCTAAGGTGTAGATTGCCCATGATATGCCAGAGCCATGCCAATGGACAAGTCTAAGAGGCGTCCATGGCCATCTGCCACCCTATAAGAGCTTCTTATTGGATTCAACATATACTCCCAATGGCAATGAAATTACATAAACATAATAACGGGTCATTGGGTCCATCTTTGAAATATAATGCTCGCCCAATGATACTTAACTTATTTCCATATATGATGAGACAACCAGATGACAACAATTAAACAACCATACCATACCATAGAACAACTTTAATATTTACAAGTACTTACCTAACCTATCTTTACATCATGGTAATATGCTAATAAATGTGCTCTTGCTAAACTCACGCCTTGCCCCCACATAGCTAATAGGAGCCCTTCTTTAAGTCAAGTTGATATGCTAATAAATGTTCCCTTGCCAAACACACGCCATGCCTCCACATAGCTAATAGGATTCTCACAAACCACTCTAACTTGAAGAGCCGGACGCCCTGAGTAGTCTTCAATTGGACCCTTAAAATTCCACAACATAGTATCGCATTCCCGCATATTCTTCTACCAAGTACTTAATGTGGCAATTCTTCTTGCTTTGCCCAAACACCCATATCAAACATTGTTTCCGATTCGTTAGTGTATCCGATTATGAAAAAGGGTGCAAGCACCCTTAACATAGTCTTAATAAGGTTTTAAATACCTAGTATGAAATGTCGAATGCACCTTGAGCCTTTATGACAAATTTGAACTATTTCAAATGGACCGTCGTATCAAAGTCAAGGATTGTTGCTCCATCTTAGTGTTGATCACTTTCGAGATCAAGAAGTAAGTTTCAATAACAATTTAACCCGATACCGAACTCTAATTTCTTCATGCGAAAAGTTGCTTTCTCTAAACCGTCTTATGCTTCATTCCTCAATTCCTAATGGGTAGCAGACTAGGTCCTTGAAGGCTCCCACGATAGCATCTAGACCAAGTGCACCCTCAGAGGGGAGAAGAAACAACAATGATAAATATAGCACACAGCACACCACTTTAATACACTGAAGTGACCAAACCAATTACAAAGCATACAAAGTTCTCTAGTAAGAAATTTATGTAGAATTCTGGGCTCTTTGTAATTGAAGATTAATGCCAATTCATAGGCATAAGCACTATCGACTACAGCCTAAATTGCCCACAACACCCAATAAGTATAAGTGTATAACTTCCCACTATTGTCATGCCCCTACATTTTAGGGTGCATTACACTAGTGCTACTTTGTGCTCGTGTGCCATAATCAATGCCAATCCCATTACTATCATGCTCCTAAATCCCAAGGCACATTACACTAGTGCTAGTGCTACTTTGTGCACATGATGTTAGTGGCGTAACCACCATCTTCCCAGGTAACACTTGGCGTGGTCAACACCATCAATGCTCAGCCGGGCTCAAATAACCACTATGCATCATGCATCTCTATCTTCATAGTGAACATAACTGCCTTTTAGTAGGCAAAATATCACTAAGGCCACGCTCCTACTTTTGGGAACCTTAGCATAACCACCTCATGGTTATAACATCATAAATAACCGCCATTTTCGCCTTGTGCTTGGCAGCGAAGGAAACTTTGCGCTTTAGTGCGCCTCGTGCATTTTATAATTAAGATTAATTTTTCATCGATTCCTATGTATAATGTCAACAACTAACATAAACACAGATTTCATCTCGTAGGAATGGCATTTGCAACGGCTTAGTATAACGAAGGTGGGTGCTACGTGGATAAAACTAATCATCAAATAAAGATAGGGCATAGAGTCTAGAAAGTTTTGGCTGAAAATAAGATAAATTGCCTTTTGCATGATATTCACTTCTTTTCCTATTTTATACAATTATATGATGTCACTTTCTCTCGTAACATCCCTAATAATGGCAAGGTCCTTTGGTGTTTGAGGTAGAAGGGAAGTTAGTAAACAGCCGAAAATAAAATAGGGAGTAAGTGCAATCAATAAGAGAATATAACAATATAAAATGGAAAAAATAAATGACAAACTTAAGCATATTTGACAAGATGCCTAATTTTATAAACTAAATATCACTACGAATGTGGAAAATCCCCATTGTTTTCTTTACAAACTTGGAATGCAGATGATTGTGGCTTTGTGAGTTGTGACCTTACTTGATCACTAAAGATCTTCTCATAAAGTTAAGAAAAAAAAATACAAGAAACAGGCCATGTTTGATAATATTAACTCATTACAAGTGTCTTTAATACATGATGCTTCACTAAAGTCATATCCTCGATAAAAATCCAGTAAGCATGTTCTACATCATGACAATTTAAACCAACTAAGATCTCTATACAAACCCTATATCAATTAAGGGCACCTTCATCCTTTATATTTAGACAAATAAACAATTAGAGTTCATTTGAATTGACATAAGTTCCTCACAATGATCTAACAATGTATTGATTATGAGATTTCAAACCATTTCATATGTCTCAAGAGTTAGACTCTATTCTCCTCACCTTATCTATTTTCATTTATTTCGGGTCTAATAAATTCATACTAACTCAAACAAGATAGAATAAAGGATAATAAGTTCATAAAGATAATATGAGGACTAATAAGTTCATATAAGATAAGGGTTAATACGTTCCAATGTGTCAAAGAAGTCCCTATAATAAAGTCTAATAAATAAATAAAATAATCAAAGGCTAATAAGTTCAAAAAAAATATAAGTTAGGAGTAGATAAGACAATCGGAATTCAAGTGTTCACTTATTTCACGTCAGATAAGTTTAATAAGTTTTGATAAGGGTTAGTCAAGTTCAAATCACAACTAAAATACGTTTTAATAAGGTCTAATAAGTGAAAATCATGTGAATAAACACACCCTAAAACACTACCTTATTTTATCCTTATCCTGTCATTTTAATAAGAATAAAATGTCCAGCATACAATAGAAATGAAACTCACCAATTTCAAGAAACATAGTCGGCTTACTTGTCACAGGTCCATGATGAGTAGCCTCCATGGTAATCTACATTAAAAGAAATAAAGAATTCCTTAGGTTGCCAAAAATAAGATGAAACATTGGATGACCCTTCTCAAAATTCTTGTACAAGTCAATATGTATTGTGATTACATGTTACAATCAAACAACTAAACCTCAAATATACAATACTCACTTCAAATTCAGGAATCAAATTCCGAGATTCAGCGATACTCCTTAAATGTCGAATCCAAGGTCCCATTCTAGGATCAGGAGGTGCAGCCCATCCCGGCTTCCCACCTTGTGGGGTTACATCCCCTTCTTTCAAATGTGGCACCCCTATTACACCAATTTCCCAAAAACAACCACATCACCAACAATCAAATTACAATCAAACATCATCCAAATCAAGACCCAAATCACAAAATCAAATACTATTACAAATTACATGTTATACCCAAAAAAACCAAACAAAATTCAAATCAAATTCATTGAAAAAGAAAGATAAATAGAGAGAGATACCAATTGGGTGAATGGTAAGAGCAGGGCGTTTAGTGACAGCAGTATGTTTACTAAGAAAAATGACATTATCGACGCATTCATGAGTTAATTCTTCCCAACGAGCGTCGAGATTGTCTTCTTTGACTATACTATTGTCATGCTGCAACATTCTAACTTCTCCATTTTCATAACTTCTTAATCCCTACCAATAATCATCAACACTTTTCCATAAAAATCCCACATCAAATAAAATCATTCCCAGAAAACAAATACTGTAATTGAGATGAAAGAGAGAGAAATAACCTCGAAAGAAGGGCCGGGAGACCACCCGGGCATGGCCAAAAGAGCTGAAGCAGGGCCGATTGATGCCGGATCAATTGTAGTGGATACAACAAGTGTCACCATTGTTCAAATTGAGAGAGGAAATTGAATTGTGGGTTTGATTTTAATGGAGGAACCCAGAAAGAAATGTTGTTAATTTATACTTCTCTTTGTTGTTATTAGAGAGAGTGAGATGAAGAGGAACTCGACTAGGGAGTGGTGGGCTCTCTTTTTCACGAGTTAAGTATAAATATGGAGTCTAAGTTTTTAAGCTTTTCACGTTTTGGGACCTATGTTTTTTTTTTCATGGTTTAGGACCTCACGTGTAAAATCCGGTCAAAATTTAATTAGGTTGGGTTAAAAACTTTGTCCCTTAGTTAAAAACACATAGTCCCCTAAAAAGTTGATAAAAAAACTTAGTCCCCTACTTTAAAAATTTAGTCCCCTAAAAGCATATTCTGACTGATTTGATTGCGGCCTTCGAAAATGAGACACGTGTGTGTTGGGAAGTGGAAGCCTACGCGAGAAGCTTCGCCCCCAAAAATCAGGTAAGCATACAGCTCAAAAAGGACAAGCTTCTGATGCAGGTCCGGAGAAGAGGAAACAGCAACAGAACCAGCACCAACAGGCCTGTCCTAACACCCAACAAAGTCAAGTTAATCTTCCTATGCATAACAGGGGTGTAGCAGTATACACTTACCCATATGGCTACACAAGACAAGGTATGGTAAGCATTTGCATTTCAATATTACTGATTTTCATTCACTCATACAAAATAAACTTTGAAATAAAATTATTTTTTTATTAAATTGTGTAGCCAAACAATACATCTCAAACTACTCAGTCACAATCCATCATTGGATCAAGTACTACAACTGTCTGGAGGTACTAAGGAGGTAACAAGAGAATCCTAATTTTTCTTTACTTGAACAAATACATAAAACCAATAATGATTACAAGAAATATAATTAAAATCCTATAAAAACTAATCATATTCTTCCTCTATTCATCTATATTCTGCAGCATCTCATTCATTTGTATCATTTTGATCATTTCATATTTCACCTCCCATTCATAATCTCCATCTACCCACTCCCAAAATTCACAACTATTATACTACTTGTAATTTTGACATGTGATGAATCTTCTAAATGGATTCCTGGTTGTCCTTGATAACCTTCTAACAGCCCTTTTGTTGCATCTGCAAACATAATTTACTGTTGCCATTTTTTTTTCTACAGGTTCAGCTTTTGGAGAAGATAATGGAGGCTTCAACTCTGCATCTGATTGTATTTATACTCCTTGTATTGCTTTCTCTGATGGCTAGTTTTTTGGATTTGTATCCGTTTTAAAAAAATTGTACCTAAATTTCTTCATGTTATATAATATATGTATTTAGTAGATGTCCATTATACCCCTTATGATTATTCTAGGATATTCTAGATATATTAGACTTATTATTCTACCAGGAAACCCTAATTGTATCACATGTATATATACATATGTACTCCCACATCATTCGATAATAAGAATATCGATCTATTCTCTCCCCCACTTTTCCTCTTTCTCTTTAATTTTATAACACGTTATCAGCACCAAGCCCTAGCCTATTGAGCAACTATAGCCGATTAAGCAATTGATGGAAAAGCGACTACTAACAGAGAAATGATGAGTCAATTAGACTTGCATACATCACCATGAAGCCTTAATTGAATGTTTTATTAATTACCAAGGGGGATGCTCATAGCGTTAATCATAACGTGATCACTCTACACATCCGATTAAAAATCATATTCGAAATCTACGAAAGCCACACTCCACATATATTGTTGTTGGTGGAAATATTATGCAATTCTCCTCCGGCAATTTAGAAGAATACACTAAACTGTATTTTCTGTGGGCTATGATCATTGTTAAAGGCCCAACTAAATTATATTTGTCATTGTCCTCGGTATATGGACGCAACCAGATAAGTTCCTTCTTAATTTTATCTTATTATTAACTATCATCTTGCCTAATAAATTTTATCATGTATGTGCCCCTTTATGCATTATTTATTTATTATGATATCTTGCTTTTAAAATGTGGTGGTAGAGTTATGTTTTAGACTAACTAATAAACTAGTGTAACTAACCTTGACGAAGTAACAAAGGAAATTAACCTTGATTAAGCATTTACCTTGGCCGACAAGGCAACAATTTAGATCTTGATAATAATCATAGACTGTGCACTATAATTCGGTTGTAATCTCAATAATCTTGCCAATTCAACAAAAGGTACGCTATTATTTTTATTTTTATTGTTTGTTAGTCGTCGAAAGTTTCCTTCTTTACTTTGATTTGCAATTTGATTTTTTAAATTTTGTATTAATATAATACCATCACAATGAAATTTTATTATTAATTTAATTGAAATTTAAGATATTAAACTTTTAAAAGGTTTTGATTCATGTGCTAAAATTTAGAAATTAATGAGCTAAGAATATCCAATTCCATTATTTTAACGTAGTGTGCTACTGTGCTGCATAGACTTATGTAAGCATGTAACTCATAATTAGGAATTATTTTTGTTATTCAATGGATTAAAGTGCATATTTCTTGATCAAATTTTTATGTGATTTAAACTATGAATGAATTTTAATTGAGTTGTAATCTAGTGCTCATTGTACATGGCACATGTTGGAGTATATAATGTTGGACTTCAATCTATAAGAATTATATAACAGTATGTATACTAATAATAACCATTTATGTTGTGTGGCAAAATTCTTTCACAAGGAGTGCCACTAATCCATAGTAATGATTACTTAACTTGGTACTATATTGCATTGTAACACCAACACTAAGTATTAAGAATTATTTAAATCTATGCTTTTTGATCTTGTTTATTGTAAGGAATGAATTATGATTATTATTGCTACCTTATTATAATAAACCATGGTATAAGAATTACTATGTGATGTTTGATTATATTCTTTTGATTGCATATGGAGTATTTATATTTGGTCATTGTCTCACATAATATCTAATCTTAATTATAATTTTAAGATATTTTATTTATCATGATATCTATGTGTACCGAGATTCCTTTTTTATTAGTATGTTACAAGTTCTAACAAACTAATTAAAGATAAGATTGACTTTATCAATTCGTAGCTCTATTAACCAAGAGACCAATTTTATTCGTATATCAACTCTATTTTGCATCCTTAGTATTAACTAAATATCTATATTTATTATGTTCATCCATAATTTAATTTATCTTTATTTGTTTTGTCGAGGAATTGCTTAATTGATACTTGATAACTTGATACTAGTCAGATGCATGTCTGTACAATTGTATTTTAAACTATAAAATCAATGATTAGTTGCAAGCTAATACTCTATAATTGCATACTCCTTTTTCAATTTTGGACTTGAAGTTCCAAATTTTGTTCTTTTAATATATACTTTAAAATATCTCATGAACATGCATAAAAATTGACATTAACTTAGTAACCTTATAATTATGAAACATACTAACACGATGGTATAAGTATTGTTTGATGTGTGATTGAATTTGATTATATACTTATATACATGAAGTTGAATTATAGGAATGATGAATAAATTGAACGTGAAGTATTCATACGTAACGACTTGAATTTCCTTAAACTAATGAATTAAAGGGTCAAATATACCGTATACGTGGCCTGAATATGTCCACCAGTCACAAGACTAAAGTGATTTTATAAACACAATGTCAAGAGAAAAATATACAAAATATTTTGATTAGTTCTAATATTGTCTATTGGTTGCACATTTAAGGTATTGAACTCGATCTATATATATATAAATGTTGATAAATAATTGAATTTACTCATTCCCAGAAGTGAATGAAAATTCTTATGATTAAAAGGTATATGTTTGCATGATGATTATCATTCATGTAAAGTTCATGATAATTACAAACATGAGTACATAATATTCATTTGAAATAAAATTAATCTAAGCATGACATTGTGAAAAGATTATTTAATTAGTTGAATAATGTATTCACTATGCCCATACTTTTGAGAATTTTCAATATAAAGATTTATATAATTGGGCAAGAGGAAAATAATAACTTTGCTTTGTTTGATACATGCATTGCTAAAAGAATTAATGGCTTAAAAGGAGCAAGGGATTTAAAGATTGTTGGACTATTTTTATACCCCCCATATGGAAGGATTAGGGGGAGATAGTGTTTATTCCATTGTTTTTATGTAAACCTTGCACATGAATAATTAAATATGTTGATGGTCAGTTTGGTACATACACTAGCCTAAATATCAATGATTTAATGATTTAATAGAGGTGGCCACGTGATAATCAAATATTTAGAATGATACCATCCTGAAGATGGAAATGAATAAATGTTATTGACTATATACCAACTGTAAATGCTCCAATTAAAATTGATATCTTAGAAGGATAACAATAGTTTCTAATGATCCTAAAGCACGCCTGAAGCGTAGTAGCCAATTAATTTCCAAAGATAAGAATTTTCAAATAGGAAAGAACAATTATTGACAATAGCAAATTTGAGAAAGTGATACATTATGCTAGATCTATATAAGAGAATATGTTTAGTAAAATTAATTATGTACCATGATTATATAAAATACTCCAGAAGAGTATAAAATGTCCAACAAGATTAGCATGTATCAAGATTATAATCAATGCTCCAACAGGGTATGAGTTGAGTTATTATTGGATCAAGTATTCAAGTATCAGTTGATTGTCTTGCCAAATGTATAAAAAACACACATTGGTGTTCTAATATCACATCATACTCATGGCAATGCATAAAATATATCTAATAAAGTAAACACTAGTGTTGGAAAAATGACCAAAATTTAAATTTAGATAAACGATTGGATGTGATAATTAAATTATGCCATCCGGGTTCAAACCCATTATGGAAACCCGAAGTTTCATTTGATAATGTGCTGACACTCTCTCAATGTTAGATATATAGAATGAATAGAATGGCAAGATATAACATTGAAGTTGAGCTATATTTGGATTGTGATTTTTAATGATTTGTGTTGAAGAAAATTTCAAGAGATAATATATTCGTTTTGAATAAATTTTCATACGAAAGAGTAATAAATGACTAGAAGTTCACCAGAATAACTTATATGTTGTCACATGTTGGTGACCAGAAGCTCACCAAATACAAGTTGTATGTGGAAATTCTGAATATTTAATTAGTATCATACTATCAAGGTTTCTAGTGATCCAGAAGATCATCACCTAGTAGAATTACAATCAAGCTTATATTTGTATAACAATTCTATTGATTGGGGCTATTGTATGTAAGCACATAA